TGGGCTGCAGCCTGGTGGGGGACCCATGGTGTGCGAGAGAGTGGGCTGGTGGCCAGGCTGGATGGAGTCCTGCTGGAACTGGATGGGGAGGCACCAAGGGAGGCTGGGATGAGATGACCCTGGGCACCGTCATGAGCTATCAGCCTACGCTTCCTTACAGCATCACAACATCCTGCAGCTTTTCCTGTCCTTCCTGGTGACACCCCGTCCTTTTCCTCCTCCCCCATATGGGGTCAGGCAGAGGCGGGCTCATGGAATGGGAACTTTGCGCAGCCTGGGTGTAGGAGTGGAGCTCCCTGGTGAGATGTCGTGTTGTATCTCTCCCCCCTCCCCCAAGTAATAGAGTGAATCTTCCCCCCCATCACTAACCCCTCCCTCCTTCTCCTCACTTGTCTGTGTTTTCCCTGATTTGGGGAGAGCAGGTCCGTCTTGGGAAACAGCCAAGCAGTGCCTGTGACTGTGGTGGAATGGCTGTTATCTCTAGCAGAGCTGGGTTCCCGCCAATTAGATACCCAAGACTTAACAAATGCACTGCCTAAAGCTCCATTCCGCCCCCCGGTTCTGTCCAGATTTGCTGATCCAAGCACCCCCTGCTAATTCAACCCAGGCAGCTCTCCCCACCCACTTCATCTCAGTCCTCAGCTGCAGCACCTCTGCGTGTTGATCCCCACCTCGGATATTTCAGTCCTCGGCCGGGAGGGTAGATGTGTGAAACACACAAACAGAAACTAGGATACCAAACTTACATCGCTAATGACCTTGTTCAGGATTTGAACTTGGCCTTTATTTAGAAGCGAGAGGCCCTTGCACTGAACCCTGCTGTGCTGCTGCCTCCAGCACACACTGTAAAAGAGGATGTGGTTTAGGGGAAGAGGCAGTGGTTGGCTCTATCTGCTGAGGGTGGCACAGGAAGGGGACCAGCATTCCTAGGCCCTGGAGGGAAGGTTGCTGCACACAGCAGAATAATGGAGGTGACCGGCTGGGCTGTGCATCTTTGCTCCTGGAGGCAGTTCTCACAGGGATAGGCAAAGCACAACATCCACTTGTTTTCATAGCATGAATGAAATTGGGAGCTGTGTGAGCCCTTGATCCAGCGGAGGGAGTAACTCTGCTTTCACCAAACAGATCATGGGGCAGCTTTCCTGGGTCCTCTGTCACGTGAATACCATTATATAGGTCTGTCGCATCTTACGCGCATTTAACATGCGGGATTTCAACTTTACTCAGTCGGCAAAAACAAAAAAGAGAAAAACAACAATTTTAATACTATTCCTGTAGTGCGGGCGATTTCGCCCGCCATTGAACTCAATGGGGTTTTGGCTATACGCGGTTTTCGCTTTAGCGCTAACCGCGGAACGGGAACCCCAGCGTAAGATGAGACAGACCTGTATTAACAAGATGAGGGGGAAGGGTGTCTCCCTGGAACTGAAATGTTTCAAAAGTCACTGTGCATGGTAGAGAAAATGGAGCTGGTTCTGACCAGTGGCCCTGGGGAACATCTGGGAAAATGCAGGAGGTGGTGCTGGTCCCCAGAAGGTAGAACTGGAAAAGACCCATCAGATCACACAGTCTCTCTCCCTGCAGCCAGGGTAGGATTGTCCCCTGGGGGACAGTTCCATAGGGTTCTAGCCAGTCTGGTTTTAAAAGTTTAAAAGGGATGGGGCCTCCTCCATTCCCCCCCACCCCCTGATAGGCTACTTCATAGCCTAATAGACCTAACTGTATGGAAGTGTCTTCTGAATGTTCCCTTTTGCTTATTTCCTTATTTCTAGCTATACCCTCTGGTACCACCCTAATTCCTTTCCTTCTTTGGTGTTTACATTCTTCAAATATTTGCAGACTGTTATCATGTCCCCCACAGTCATCACTTAGCCAGGCTAAGCATATTCTGCTCTTATTGTAAACCAGTCACTCCAGCCCCTTGAGCACTTCTTCTCTAGAGCCCTTCCAACTTGTCAGTCTCTTTCTAGAGGTGTGATGTACAGAAGTGAATGAAACGCTCTGGGTGGGGCCACACCAAAGCTAAGTAGTCCTTGCCCAAGGCCTCTGGACATGCAGCCTAAAGCAGCATTTAAGGATGGCTGTTTTTTCTGTTTTGCTGCCATATCCGATTGCAAAGTCTCTAGTTCGTTGTCTGCTGTCACCCCAAGGCCCCTCAACATCTCTGCTTTCTCGCTTCTCCCTCCTGCTGAATTTGTGTTTCAGAATATTTTTCCCCCAGACACATTATCCCATGCTGTTCCAAATGGAATCTCCTTTTTAGTATGTTGCCCATTGGCTAGATTCCATGCTGTGCTTCCTGGGACAGAAGGTGCAGCTTGTGGGGGAGAGGGGGCAAAGGTGGCTTTAAGCCATCTCTTGCACCTCTTGAAATACCAGCCCCAGTGTAAGCTACAACAGCCCCAGGGCTGTCCTAAAACTTATGGCAACTTCCCCACAGCTTCCTGTAGGCTGCTCTGCAACCCCGAATAGCTATAAAGAAAGTGCCACAGTCAGGAAGACCCCTCCTAACCCGGGTGCACCCCCACACATGCGGCTGCAAGGGAAGCAATACAAGGCCACATATGCTGCCCTTATGTTGTTCCTGTGTTGGGGGAATTCTTCCTGAAGCCTCCTTTATGGTCCCTATACTGGACATGGGGGCTGGAGTAGGTCTCAGAATCTGGTCCAATGGTGCTAATATGTTGTTGAAGTCCTCTGGCATTGCTGTGTCCCTTCTGGGGTTTGCAGCTCCTCCCAATGTAATGTCCTCTGCTAATATCAGTTAACTTGATGATTAATGCTCTGGTAGTGTAAATCACAAATAAGATGAGACTTTGCACTGATCCTTGTGGCCACCTCACTAGACATCTGCCTTCTTGCTCAGTATACTGCTGTTTTATCCTTCCCCTTTTTTTAGGATCATACTTGGGGTTTTAATCTACCTGACCATGATATTTATCCAAGGCCATTGGAACTGGTTCATCGGTTAAGATTTTGTAAAGAGACTGAATCAAATGCATTACTAAAATCCAAGTTTGATACATACTGTGTCCCTGTGTTTGTTTAGATTTTTTTTTTTTTTACGCATTACAAAAATTAGGCTTGACTGGCCAGTTGTTATTTCTAAGTCCGTGCTGCTTATTGGGATATCTATTACTCACCATGAAGTTCTGGGAAGCTGTAGTGTGGACATCTGGTGGAATAGAGAATGATGCCATACTGCATCTGGGGACAAGGAGTGGGATTGACTAGCAACTGGGCTGGCTTTGCTCGGTGACCTTAGGGTACCTTGGTTTAGTATGTGGGAGTGTATTGTTTGCGATGCACATGTGTTTGGCAGCATGTTGGTTTTATGTTCCATTTCCCTCCCTGCCCCGCCCCCAGTTCACAGCTAGCTGTGGGGGCGCTGGATTGGAAGGGGGAGCAGCTGCTGCATAGATGCAACCACATAATGTGAAGAGTGTTGGGGGAAGCCTGGCGTGACTGTGGTGGTGGATAACATCAACAGGATAGTAAGATTAGGGGAAGGGTGCATGTCTCCCTCCTTGTCCCCCACCCTCAGAGGCTGCTCTAGGCGAAGGCAAGCCAGCAGCTGCCTAGCAGGGCAGATTCCTGGCAACCTAGGGTATGACCTCTCCCACAATAACCTGCCCCGGTGCTGGCTAACTGTCCGGGTGGACCCCTCTGCACCTTAACAGTTTCTTAATGCCCTTTGATCTAGGGCCATTTCCGGGCCCTAGATCAAAGGGAATTAACGAACTGTGCTCCCTGTGTGCATTAACACTCACCCAGACGTCAGCATGAGCTATGTAGCTGGAGGGCCTGTCTAGGTGGGGGCAGCTGCTGCCTGGCGGGAGTCTGCCACCTGGTCGGGCCCCTAGTGGGCTTTCTCTGGATGAGCCTAAGGATGAGGGGCTGTCTGGGTGGGTTGCAACCAGGTAAGTGGCATGCCCTCCCATCTGCCCCATGCCCTAGTCTTCCTGCTCCTCTCTGCCTCCCGAGTCCTATGCCCACTCCTCTCCATCCCCCCCACTTCCCCCTGTGTCTTAGCCCATCTGCCATCTGGGGTCTTGCCCCCCTCTATCTCCCACTTCATTTGCCCCCAACCAGAGATGGGGAGGGGTGGGGGGGAGAGGGCAAAAGGACCATTGTCTACCTGCACCTACCCCATCTCTCTCAAAAACCTGGCTGGGAGAGAGCATGCCATGGCCCGACTGACCGGCTCCAAGGTCCTGCTCTATAGCGTTCTGCCAGCTGAGCCCTCAACCTGCTGGCTGCTACAGGGATCAATGGGTCTGTCCCCTGAGGGTCTCTGGCTCACCACTAGGGAGGGTGAGGTCAGGAGTGAGGGGAGGCAGGGGCTTTGAGAGGGTGGGGGGAGCAATACATATACATTTGCACTCCTTTTGGTACCTGTGCCCCTAACCCCCAGGATCTGTCTCCTTCCCCAGTCATCCTGCTCCACTCCCCCAAACCTAACTGTGCCTGGAGTCCTTTTCCCCCCCATTCTGTTGGCTCCCTCTTCAAGCATCCTGCCCCTGTGTCTTGTCTTCCCACCCCACCTGTCCCATGAACTTCTCCCTGCTCCCTGTAGCCCCCCATCCCATTTGTCCACCACTGTGTCCTGGTCTCCCCCTGGTCCTAGCCCCCATCCCCACCCCAGGTCCTGACTCCAGTTCCCCTGTATTATCCCCTCCATTGTTCCACCCATCTATTGTGTGGGGCCCCCTCTCCAGCCTCATGTCAGGGATCCCTTTCTGGCCTGTTGCAGCTCCCCGTGTACCCTTGGGTGCCCTTATCTCACACCGAGGGGTTTGCTCAGGATGGGGGGGTCTAGGGTCCATCTGGGTGGGGGGGGGGCAGATGCAGTCCTATGCTGTGAGTCCCAGCAAATAGCGCTCTTGGGGGGACAGATCCCTAATGTGGGCCTAGGCAGGGCTGCTGGCTCCTTGGGGTGGGGGATCTTGGGGGGAGGGGGGTTCTTCCTGGGAAGCCTGTTTATGGAGGAACAAGCTGCTGTATTTGCCACTCTGTCACAATGAAAGGGGAACTGACCTGAGGGGGATGTCAGAGTCACTCCTGTCTGCATGGGGCATCCCCTTTGAAATGTGGGTGCTGTTGAAAAGGAGTCACTTAGGTCCCATGCACCTTTATACCAGATGATGACAGGGGGAGGTCACGTGCCTGCCCGCCCAAGCCAGAGCTGTCTGTAGCCAGGTTTAGCATCATAGTTTGATCCAGTCCATATGGACCAGATTTTCCCTTGTATCCTTATTTTCAAATGTTTCCTTTACAGGGGGGAGCTTCATCCCACAGATCCCCAAGTATAAGGGCTCTGCCCCTTACCTGCTGGGGGCTTCACCCACATTGTACAAACCTGGTGCCCATGTTAAGGAGTTGTTAATGTGCGCAGGGTGCATGCTGGTGGTAGGAGGGGAGCGGGCAGCATACTCACCTACTCCCTATGCTGGCATGTTGTCTTGAGCAGCCTCTGCCCACCATGCAGCCTTGGTGCTGGAGGTGAAGAGTGGAAGCCTGGGTCACCTGGCTTCAGTTTCCATGTGTCTCTGCTTCCGTGTGGCATAGTCTGTCTCTGCAATTGGACACTCCCAGCCCAGGGAGACAGCGATAGGGATAGGATGGGCCTGCAGCTGTAATCGCAGGTGGCCCGCCCCCCTGCCCCCTACCAATAGGCTGGTTGGGTTTGGGGCAGGCCGACACTTTGCTGCTGTCTGCTGTAACCTTGGGTGTAACCCAAGAGCTCAGCCCTGCGAGATGAAACAGGAGAAAGCTTCACCCAGTTGGGCCGCAAGAGATCTGGGCTTATGCGGCCAGCTGGCACCAGGTGGATGTTTCCTGAATTAATCGGAAGCTCTTGGAGTACTAAGTACCCACGCAGTGGTGGAGCTGCTCCCCCCACCAGCCCCTTCCTGGGTGGAGGATGTGGCAGTTAGGGACACTCAGCAGCCTACCCCAGGCTGGCAGACCTGGTACAGATGACTCTCAGGTACAACTCTAATATTTCCTCTTTGCCCTCTCGCCACTGCTGACTGACCAAGTTTAGTTGCTGGCACTTGAATGGGGCAGGGGGAGCGTGTGTGTGGTGGTGGGGGGAGGCGGTAAGAGATACTGGCCTTGAGAACACAGCTGCTGAGCCAAATTCATCCCTGATGTAGCTCTCCTGAAGTCCATGGTGTTCAAGGAGGGATGGGTTTGGCCCACCTGGCTTGGTAAAGCAAGGAAGAGTAGTTGCCCTGCATCAGCTGTTCCCAGTTCCAGCCCTGAAATGGGAGGAAGAACTGGTTGCGCTGCAGCAGCAGGGTGAGGTTTGGAGGGGGTGGCGGCACCTCCCCCATGACTGTCGGTGATCTGGAATAGTATCCACACATGGCTGCATGCGGTGGGGAGGCTGGGGGAGCAGTCAGGGGGTGTTCTGTGGCACAGAAACAAACTCCTGAATTTAAGAGAGAGAAGTTTGTTCCTGGATTCTAGTACTGGCTCTGACTTGCCCTGTGGCCTTGGGCAGGCCTTGGACAAGTCGTGTAACATTGCGTGTTTTCCCCGTCTGCTCTGAAGTGATATTTACCTCCTGCACAGCCAGGATGAGGGTTGATAATGTCGAGCTGGTCCTGTCTTAATTAAGTGATCGGTGTTGGTGTCAAAGCATGGCCCCAGGCTCTGGGGGAGTGCTGGATTTGGAATGGGTTTCACTAGTTTTGTGACCAAACTCCTTTCGAAATTGAGCCGATTCAGGGGCCATGCAAACTTTTTTTTATTCTCCCCCGCCTCCCCCTCCCCCCCAAATCTCTGAATAAATGTCCGCAAAGCAACGTGCGTACCTACCTTTACTTCTTCAACCCCTCCTTCCCAGGCTTCTTCCTGTCCCTGTGTGAGGACCCATCCCTTCTGCTACTTGGTAAAACATGAGAAGTCAAAATATTTTGTTTTGACTCTTCAGTTTGAAACAGCATTTCAACCT